TCTTCAATCTCAGTTATCAATGTTTTATAATTTCCATTGTAGAGCCCTTTCACCTCTTTGGTTAAGTTTATTTCTTGGTGGGGTTTTTGTTTTTATTTTTTGTGGGCTTTTTTTTGGTTTTGGTTTTAGCTTTGGTTTGTTTGGTTTTGGTAACTATTGCAACCATGATTTCTTTCTCAGATAACTCACAATTGGCATATAGATATGTTACTGATTCTTTGTTAAGTCTGCATCCTGACACTTTGCTAAATTTATTTTTTAGCTGTAATTAGGGGGGTTTGATAGATTCCTTGGGTTTTTCTACATACAAGATCATTTCATCTTTAATCAGTGACACTTAACTTTCTAGTATCCAGTTTGGATACCCTTTATTTCTTTCTCTTGCCTGATTATTCTAGCTGGGACTACTGATACGACATTGAATAAAAGTGGTGAAAGTGGACATGCTTGTCATGTTCCAGATCTTATGGAGAAAGCTTTTGGCTTTCCCCCATTTAGTAGGATGTAAACTGTGAGCTTGTCATATGTGGACCTTATTCTGTTAAGATGCTTAATTTATTCATAGTTTTTATCATGAAGGGACATTGAACTTTACCAAGTACTTTTCCTGTGTCTATTAAGATGATCATGTGTTTTTTGTCCTTCATTCTGTTGATGTGATGTATCATGTATGTTGATTTTGCATATGTTGAGCCATCCTTGCATCTTAGGAATGAAAGCCACTTGATCATGGGGTATGATCTTTTTCATGTGCTGTTAGATTAAGTTTGCTAGTAGTTTGTTGAGGATTTTTACATCTGTGTTCATAAGGGATATTGGCCAGTAGCTTGTGTGTGTGTGTGTGTGTGTGCATATGTGTGTGTTGTGTGTGTGCGTATGTCTGTGTGTGTTGTGTGTGTGCGTATGTCTGTGTGTGCATGTGTGTGTGTGTGTGTGTGTGTGTGTGTGTGTGTTGTGTGTATGTGCATATGCATCCTAGTCTGGTATCAATTTCAGGGTAATGTTTGTCCCACTGAAAGAGTTTGGAAGAATTCCCTCTTCTTCAGTTTTTTTAAATAACTTAACTCTGTTGTATTTGTGTTGGTTCTTCTTTAAATGCCTGATAGAATTTAGTAATGATGAAACCACAGATTCCTGTGCTTTTTATCTTTGAGAGGTGACTTTTGTTATTGATTTAATATTATTGCTCATTATTTGTCTGTGTGGGTTTTCTGTTTCTTAATGATTCTATCTTTACAAGGTGTATGTGTATAGGATTTTATCCATTTCTCCAGATTATCAACTTTATTGATGTATAGTTATTTATAATAGTCTCTATCTTTTCTTTTTCTGTAGTGCTAGTTGTAATATCTCCTTTTTGTCTCTTATTTTATCTAGTTGTGTCTTCTGTCTTTTTTTTTTTAGTCTAGCTAAGGGTTTGTCAATTTTCTTTGTCTTTTTGAATATCCAATTATTTGTTTTGTTGAACTCTTATATTGCTTTTTTAAATTTTCTATTTCAGTTATTTCTGCTCTGACTTTTATTATTTCATTCCTTCTACTAACTTTTATTGTTTGTTTTTCTTATTCTTCTGGTTCCTTAAGGCTTAATAATTGGTGGTTTTTTGAGAGCTTTCTATTTTTTCACTTAGGTACTGATTGCTATGGTCTTCCTACTCAGTACTGATGTTGCTATATCCCAGAGGTTTTGGCATGTTTAGTTTCCGTTATCATTTGCTTCAAAAGTTTTTTCAATTTGCTTTTGAATTTTTCCATTAATCTGTGGATTGCTCAAGAATGTGTTGTTTAATTTCCATGTATTTGTATAGTTTCCTAAGCTTTTCTTACTATTTTTTTGGTAGTATGGGATTCGTATTCCCACTTGAGCCACACCTCCAGCCCCTACTATCGATTTCTAGTTTTATTGCATTATATCCAGAAGAATACCTAATATGATTTTGGAGTTGTTTTCATTTGTCAAGATTGTTTTGTGGCCTATCATATGATGTATCCCGAAGAACGTTACATGTTCTGTTGAGAAAAAATGTGTATTCTGCAGATATTTTATTGAATGCTCTGTTAGATCCACCTGGCCTAGGGTAAGTTTAACTCTGCTACTTCTGGGTGATCTTTACACTGCTGAAAGGTGGGGGAAGGGTAAAGTCCAGCTATTATTATATTTTTGGAGTCTATATCTACCTTTAGGCCTATTAATATTTTCTTTGTATGCTTGGGTGCTCTGATACTGACTGCATACATATTTAGAGTTATTTCCTCTTGCCAAATTGACTTCTTCATCATTATAAAATGGCTTGCCTTGTCTTTTTTAGCAGCTTTTGATTTAAAGTCTATTTTACTCAGTTTAGGTGTAGCTATACTTGCTCTCTTTTGAATTCCCTTTGCCTAGACTATCTTTTTTCATCCTTTTTCTTTTAGTCTTTGCCTGTCCTTACAGTAATGAGTTTTTTTGTAAAACTCATGCTTACATGAGCTTTTTTGTAAGCCCTATTTAGTTATTTTATTTTATTTTTATTCATTTAATAATTCTATGTCTTTTAATTGGATAATTTAATCCACTTCCATTTAATGTAATTATCAATAGGTAAGGTCTTACTATGGCAATTTTGTTACTTGTTTTCTAAGGTTTTTTTGTAGCTACTTCTTTCTTCCTCTCTCTCTTTCAGTCTTCTTTTGTGGTTAAGTGATTTTTCTCTAGTAGTGTATTTTGATTCTTTGCTTATTATTTTTGGTGTGTCTCCTCTAGATTTTCACTTTATGGTTACCACACAAAAACACCTTTTGATTGTAACAGTTATTTTAAAGTGATAGCACCTTTACTTTGATCATAAAGATTTTTAAGAGAAAGAAAAAAAACTCTGAACTTGTATTCTATTTTTCTCTATATTTTGAACTTTTGATGTTCTATTTTGCATCTTTTAGATGGCCTATATTTCAAAATATCAATGTAGCTACTGTTATTTTACATTATTTTGTTTTTTAGACTTCATACAAAGATGTTTTATGTGCCATGTTTTCAATAGTAGAGAAATTTGTCTAGATAGTGACTTCAACCAGTATCTTTTATACCTGCCAATGTTTTCTTCTTATTCATTAGTGTGAAGTCCCATAAGCACTTATAAGATAGGTCTGATGATGATACATACTCTCAGCTTTCGAATATTTGTTCTTTTAGCACTGTCCCAAAGTTCCCATAAACTTTCTTTATTCTTTATTATTTTTTTCTCTTTTCTTTTCCTCTGGGAATTTCCAAATATCCTGTTTTTAAGTTCATCAATTCTTATGTTTGATAAGTTTTTCATTTCATTTATTGTAATTTTCAGCTCCAGGAGTGATTTTTAAGTTATTTTACTTTTTCTGTTAAACATCTTTGATAAATTACATGTTTCTCTGTGTTTTATAGAAGTTTATTAAGTTTCCTTAAAACAGCTATTTTGAATTGTCTGGCAGATCACATATATCAACTGCCTTATGGTCAGTTTTGGCACCTTATTTTGAGGTAGGACATGGTGTTCTGAAAGTTCTTGGTGCTTGTTGACATACAACAGTTTTATTTATTCCAGTCTTCATAATTTGGCTTTGCTTGTATCTTCCAGAAATTCTGAGTTTGATCCTGTGCCACTGTTACAGCATTACATTGTGCTAGTTCAGGTTTGCCACGAGTCCACAGTTGGTGTGTTATCATTGTGTTTCAGCAATGAAGAGTGCCCCTAGCCCAAGTTCCTTGCAAATCTGTAGTGGGTATGCTATACATGATGAACTGGGCAAGTACTTAGAGAGGGTAGTCCAACTTGCTTGGGTCTGCTAGCCTTTGCTTGGGGCCAGGGCAGGCCCACACATCTCATCTACAATCACTGACCTGTGGCCAGGCACCATGGAATTCTGCCAAATGCTGGGCCTCACCATAGAGGATTCAGCTCTAAGCACCAAGTGTGCCTGGAACCTATAGCTTGCTGAGACCAATGAAGCACAGAACCAACACCAAGGTCCATGCTGCCATGGCCTGCCTGATAGTGTGGTCTGTTTGTGGCCTGACATCAATGCAGCCTGCTAGCAGTGATGCTGATTGGAAAATAAGCCCATCTCACAAGGGCTGCAGGGTTCTGCGTGGTGCTGACCTTGGGCTCTGGACAGGGGTAGGGTTTATAGGATCCTGCCCAGTGTTGGGTTTTACTGTGGCTGGCCTGGCACTGAGTTCCAAGTCAAAGCTGTATACCTACAGATGAAATCTTTCTCCAAGGTTGAGGAAGGAAACTCAGGCTGACAAAACTGACACTAAGCAGGGTTATACTCCAATCTCACAGCCTGAGAAACTGATATAGTTCCAGACCAGTGCCACTGTTGGCAATTGTGCAGGCAGGAACCCAACTCAACTCACTGAGATTGGAGTTCCTGCCTAGCTCTGGGGCAGATCCAAAGTCTTTTTGTCCATGATCACTGGACTGAGGGCAGTGGCTCTGGGACTCTACTCAATACTGGGTTTCACCATGGTGGGCCTGGTACTGGGTTCCAAGCCTAAAGCCTGCACTTGATTTCCCCTTCCTTCCTCAAGCAGGTGGCATCTATCTCCAGAGCTTTGGTGCTTGGAGTGAGGGAAAAGGATGACATGCTTTCCTTCCACCCTTCCTCAGTGCCTATTTTCTTTTTATTATGCTAAAACCTGGTATCCTTAGGTCTTGTGAAGATAAGTTCACCTGTGAAAAGCTGCTCAAGTTGATGTTTGTGCCTGAGAAATGATCACTGGAAGGTTTTATACCGCCATCTTGCTTTGCCCTCTTCAATGTATTTTTGAAACTAATCCAATGCTATTTTTTTTATTTTGGCAGTACTGAGCCTTGAGCTCAGGGCCTCACACCTACTAGGCAGGTGCTCTACCACTTGAGCTTTTTTTTTTTTTCTTCTTAAAATAAATTCTAAAAGGAAATCAAGCTTCAGTGTTTCTAATAGTGCTCATATCTGGTCTTTTTTTTTTATTTGTTTTGTTTTTCTTGCTTCCATTCCCAGGACTGAAGGGCTCCCTCCAGAGGCTGCAGCTGGAGTATGTGGATGTGGTCTTTGCAAATCGTCCAGACAGCAACACCCCCATGGAAGGTAAATGAAGCATTTGTTAGAAGACTCAGTTATTTGATTTTAGCTTGGGGAATTATTCTACTCACAGTAGGAAATGAAATATATTCAAACTAATCTGATCAAATATGAAAAATTCCAATTTTTTTTTTATTTTTATTTTTTGGCAGTACTGGGATTTGAACTCAGGGCCTCATGCTTGCTAGCAGGTGCTCTACCACTCCACCAGCCCAAAAAATAAAAATCTTTCTAGTGCCTTTTAACCTGAACATTTATCCAGAGCACCAATGTTCAATGCTCTGTGTTATTCTTCTTCCTTTTTATTTATTTATTTATTTTTCTTCAGTTGAAGGCATTAGATTTGTGGCTCCTACTGGTCACAATGCTTAATTTTTCACAGGTTCATTTCACTTTTGTGATTTCATCAACTAAAACAATAAAATTAATTGGAGAGGGAGTTTATAAACCAGCCATCATTATTTTTAGAGTGAATTCTTTGAGGTCTATCTGTTCTCTAATGACTCCAAGTCTGATTAGTTTCCAATCTGTGCTAACAAGTGCTAAGTGGTGCTGTGAGCAGAGGCTTGACAGAGCAGCCACCCAAAAAAGACTTCATTATAGTTCGGTTTTTATCTCAAGTTGCTGTGCCATCCTATGACTTTCCTGTTACAATTGTTGGAAAACCGTAATTTAAGTTTCTCCCTGTGAAAGCTTTCAAAATGTTCCTAAAACAGGTTTTGCCTATGATGAATGAGGAAGAAGATGGTTTGGGAGAACAAGTTTAAAAGAATGTTGTACCAGCAGATGCCTGAACTCACCTGGGTTGTTAGTAACCCAAGGTCACTCATATGGGTTGTTACTCACCCAAGGTCACTCATATGGATTATTACTCACCCAAGGCAGCTGTGAGTGGAGACACTGAGGGAAAGAAGAAAAGGAACCTGTGGTTATTTGAGTTTTATAATATGGCATAGATTGTCAATTTCCAAACAACTGCAACAGTGTAATCCACATACAATTACACTAAATATAATTTTGCCTTTGATGATTCAAAAGGAATTTCAGGATCTTGTAATAAATTGGGTTCTGTAAAGATTTATTCTTGCTATAGGGTTACAGAAGTTATAGAAAAGTATCAATGATTGAAGTACATATGAGTTTTTCTCAGTTGCATTTCTGATGCTAAAAATGTTATGGAAATTATATTTCCCATTTATTTCTTTTTCAACTACAGAGAAGTTATATATGTATATATTATATATCGTTTATCATGTCATGTATCATACATATAATATATATCATGCATATGTGTATATAAATGCATATTCATACATACACACATATATATATATAAATTTATCTATATAATTTTCTCCTAAGTTTTCTGCTTTCTTGATTCTAGGTAAATTAGGAGATTACTATAAAGTGGTGTCAGGGAATTTTCCATGGAAATGACATGAGGATGTATATCTTTGTCAAAGCATATATCAAGTGCTCGATAAAGCAAATCATCAACATTTTATTAGAATAAGAAGTGTTCATTGCAAGAAAAATATGATGTCAGGAGATTCTCAATGACACACTGAAATGGTACTAAGGCCATTTAGTCAGCAAAAGTGTCACTTAGTGGAGTCTGTGAAAGACTGGAATTGCTTCAGATTTTAAGTGGCAAGTGATTATTTTCTTCTTTGGGACAATCTTCTACAATTATACTATACACATTTACAGGATAGCAGAATTTCTCGAATTTTTCAGGAGTTTTTTGGTGGTTGTTTTTGTTTGTTCCCCCCTATCCTACCCTTACCTTTAATTTTAGGGAAATATTGTCAGAATCTCTTAAACCTAAACATAGAAGGAGGGATACATTACAGAAGTCTCTCAGAGAGAAAACATAAGAAGGAAGAATTCTCTAACTATGTGGTATTAACAAGATAATAGCAATCTCTTACATAAATACCAATTATATGTTGAAATTTATTAGAAAGAAACTTGAAAGCATTAAAAAAATAGATTGCTGTGTTCTGATAGAGTTTGTAATTGTGCTTATCTAACTTCAGCTAGCAGAGAAAATTTACTTTTTCCCCAAGTTGCTTACATGAAATTCCACAAAGCTAAATAGGAAGCTATTTTATAATGAGTCATTGCCTAGCAATAAAGATTTCAAACAACAGAGACTCCTCACTTGTTGACGAAGTCAAGGACCATGGCCTAGTGTTCCTTCTGTAGCTGGCTCAGCAGTGCCTCCACCTTACACTGAGATGCACCTGCCCTGCCCTTCCAGGGACCCATCCAGGTCACCCAGCTCTGAGGCTTCTTCATTCAGAGGATTTAATCTCATGCAGGGCTCGTTCCAGACTGAAGTCACTTCCCTGTGAATTTGCCCTAGCTTTCAGAAAACGGTGTCCTCAAACTTAACTCCAAGGTAGGCCCAGTGCTAGAGTTTGATACTCCTCTCTGAAGACACATTCTTTACAATTAGTTTTTTTCTATTTTACTGCAACAGAGGAACATATGAGTCTGGGAAATAGGAAAAAATAGAAAATAATGAGATAAGGATTGGCATGTAGACTTTGCATTTGCTCCTCAAAAAATGGAGGAGGGGGCCGGCCAGAGTCTCATACCTGTCTGTAATCCTAGCTACTCAGGAGGCAGAAATCAGGAGGATCAAGGTTCGAAGCCATCCTGGGCAAATAGTTCTCAAGACCCTATCTCAAAAATAGCCAACACTGAAAAGGGCTTGCAGAGTGGCTCAAGTGGCAGAGTGCCTGCCTAGCAAGTGTGAAGCCCTCAGTTCAAATTCCAGTACTGCCAAAAAAAAAAAAACCAGGAGGAAAGTTGCATGGGAAAATGGTGTCCCCGCCATTTCCAGATTCTGTGTTGTTAAGATTCATTTCTGCAATGGTTTTGTAAGTCATATGTGTGTGTGCATACATGAAAGTTGGATGTGTACATGTGGTCTACCTTAGGAGGACTGTTAGAGTTTCCACAGGCGATACATAAGGTAAACGTCACGTACAATCAAAATCACCCTTGAAAACCCTTCCGAAGCTCTTTGTTAGTAATGTTACTCCATGGCCTTTATTTATTTATTCAGCTTTTTCTCCAGAGATAGTGACAAAATTATCATCAGATATTTGTCCAGCCAGCTTTTTTTTTCTTCTATAATAGCAGGAAAAATCCTTCATATCATTCACATACTGTTTTTTTGGTGGTGCCGGAGTTTGAACATAGGGCCTCGCCCTTGCTGCACAGGTGCTCTACCACTGAGCCTTGCCCCTAGTCCTTTTTCCTTTTAGCTATTTTTTCAGATAGGATCTCAAGTTTTTTCACCTGGGCCAGCCTGACCTCTATCCTCTTACTTATACCTCCTGCATAGCTAGGATTACAGACATGTAATGTCACACCCACGTTGTTGGTTGAGATGGGGGGTCTCACTGACTTTTTGCCTGGGGTAGCCTTAAACCACAATCCTTCTGATCTTTGCCTCCCAAGTAGCTGGGATTATGGCGGCTACGAGCCACCATACCTGACTCTCACATAATTTTCTTGTTTCAACAATTCATACTGGCTATTTCAGGCTCAACTGAATCCATTTCCATTTAACATAAGTGATACAACAGGGACTTCCAAGCATAGTTGTTTGAGTTTCATATATTAAATCTACATATATCAAAACTATAGGCCTTCACATCTGTATATCGTGCTAACTGGTTTTAACCATTCCTTGTCACAACACATGCTAAAATAATTTTTCTGAGCCATTTATTTTAAACCTGAGGGACCTGAGAACTTTTCAAATGGGAGAGTCCAGCCCATGTCAGCTCTTGTTCTTCTCCATGGTTGAGTACCCACAAGCATGGAATTCAACAACTTAGGGTCGCTGGAGATCTCCAGCCATAAACCACGCAAATGTCAAGGGCTGTGTGTGCCTCTGTTGGATATCGCTAAGACACATTTTGAACAACTTCCATTTAATCATGATTAAAAGCCATCCCCTTTGTGTGACTGTACTGTCAAACATTGTTAACTGGAAGTGTTCTAAAATAAACTGGCTTCTGCATGTCATATAGCAACCAACTGAGCCAGAAAAAGATTCCTGGCAGCACCTTCTTCACAATATATTGGCATCATATATCCAGTTAATCCTTGCCTTCCAGTCTTCCTTTCATGCTTGTCAAAAATCAATAGACCTAGAGCAAGCTCTATCAAGAGAACAAATGTGAACTCCAAGTACACAAACTGGAGAAAGTAGTAAGATGCTTTGTTTGCCATCTGCAACCCAGTGGAATACAATTAGACATTTTAGGGCAATAGGAAGATGTTCCTGACAACAGAGAGGTGCTGGTGTTGTTCTTCTTCTGTCCTTCTTGTTTATTTTTTATGGTTCACCTAGTAGTAAGTCATTTTTCTTTCACAGCATCTGCCATGCCATCTGTCTCTGCTACAATATCTGGCAACGATAGCATGTTTTCCAATTAGAAAAAAAAAACCCACATCCCATTTCTTCTTTCTTATGACACTGTATCCCTCCCAGGAGAGTCGCTGACAGTTCCTTGTGCTCTCTGAAACTCCACTTGTTAATTCTCTCATTTTCATAAATCCCCTGCATGTATTATCAGATCTTCTCTTGAGATCATAGATAGGAGAAAGTTCAACATAAGTCATGCTGGATGTAGACACTGTACTTATGTGCCTGATGATCCAGGCTTAGAGGTTTAGGCTTTGGTTTTCTGTTATTCTCCAATGCCAGGCTCATTTCACTATTCCAGGGTACAAATGATTGAGAGCAACTGTGGTCATGGAAGGGGGCTGTAAACTGGAGTACCACTTGTGAATTACGGCAAAAAGAAGAGACCTATTTTAGTTAATGTAGAAATGTGTTGATCCAAGAATATGATGTTTTTTTCAAGCTTAAATTAAATTTTAATTTAAAAACACTTGAAATCAAATCTTGCCTTTTATTTACAGCTTATTGCCAAAACTAGTTACTCTCTTAGAATTCTTGAGTCATTAAATATTCCCAT